TGTTTAGTCTTATTTTGAAGGGCAAAAAGCGCCCAAGTCATAATTCGCATTTAGCAAAATCAAAGTTATACGAGAAAGTTGAAAAAATTATAAAACCAAAAAAAAAATTTTTTGTTTGAAATTTTTTTTTTCAAATATTTTAGTCAATTTTTCATCGAACCTGACATTTGTTATATTTTTGAATTCCGCACGTTAAAAGCTTCAAAATGAGTATAAACAAGACTAGGTTTCGAGAAGTTTTTGAGGGTCCATGCATTTTTTGAGGGTCCATGCACCTTTAAACTCAAAAATCAAAGTTTATGAAAACTAATCTTGTTTATACTCATTTCAAAGCTCTCAACGCGCCAAATTCAAATTTCCCAACGATTCCAGATCTGCAGCATCGCCTACAAAGTTCTGCGTTCCTGCCGTTTCAAGCGTTTTCCACGCTTTCCAATGTCCTACAAAATTGGACAGATTGCTCATGCCCAACATCCAGAATTCTCACTTTTTCATGGTCCGGACCACATTCAGTACTGTGTTCAGAAGGATTTGGATTTCTGTGAGCACTTTCTTCGAGAGAACTTTCCAGAACATTCTGTTAAATTTTCTGGAAATATTGTTTGTGTAATGGTGCCAAGAGATGGATTTAAATGTGGGAAGCAACTTCAAGAATTCCTCCCAAAAGACGGAAAACTGGTTGGGAGCTATTTGACCTACCAATTGGCCACCGATCGTGCTATTGTAAGTACTTTTTAGAAATTTGGGCTTTTAGAAATGTTCTGCATGTTTCAAAACCTATAATTTTCAGCTTTCTATGTCTTATAGCCTATATAGGAGCTGAGATACAGGTTCACAGCGCTAGAGAGTGTGCGAAAGGGGAGGGCGCAGGCACTCTCGTCGTTTGCGGCCTCTCACTCTCTCTCGTCTGTTCAAACTTCAAAGCGCCGTACCTCAGATCCCAGGAGGTCTAGAAAGCTGGAATGTAGAGGGGATATGTTTTGAAACATGCCAAATATTTTGAAATAAAAATTTTTAGAAAATACAGAATTTTCAGATTATCCACAAAAATTTTGTTTTCCCTTTTCTTCATAATTTTGACACATTTCCTTTTGCCATTTTTCAATTAGTATTCTCACAAATTTTCAGCTTTTTACGTCTCCTAGTAGCTGAGATACGTCACTTTGAAGTTCCATAGTGGTAGAGAGTGTG